GACTGGGCGGAGTCGATGGGGCTCCCAATGTTGTCGTAAGGCCGGAACGGCGCTTTGTTGCGAGGGCCTTAAATGTTGCTTGCAGCTTTAATTCGGCCCGAACAGCGAAGCGCTACGAAGGCCTATAGTTATCGCTCTGTTCAGGCCCAAGCTGCAATTTTTTCCGCCAAATGAATTGGCGTTTTGGGGGCCTTAACATATCCCAAAAGTCACCAAATTTGGTGGACGCACCAGGACTGGTGAAAAATTATGTATTTTAAGGGCGTGGTAAAAATCGCAACAGAAACAGCTCAAGAGAACCTAGAAATGTTCAAAATACCCTCCGCATTAACCTTAGTTTGTCGTAGAAACAGGAAATTTGGTAGACTTGTCCAATTCCCCAAGATGCATAGAAAACCCTCTGGCACAAAAGTTGTACGATAAAAAGGAAGGCAGCCTATTTGGAATGCCGGCCCAATTTTCACACAAATTTGGTGGTTTACAGCCTCCGCATTTGAACAAACTCCTTCTAGGGATTTCACTCATTCAGTTTCAAACTTGGCCATTTTAGTCAAAACGCATGGGGGACAAAAAGTTATCAAAATGGTGCATTTTCGTGCATGCTAAAGGGGCAGGGCCAGACCTCAAAATTGGCATCTCGCCATGAAAAACAAAACGCTAATAGCTCCCAAACGAAAACTGTCTGACAAATCAAACCTTCAGTGATTGATCTACATCCAGTCCCCTGCAAGACTGAATGGTCAAATCATGATGTCACTTAAGCCATGCCCCCTGACAACAGGAAGTGTAAAGTTTTACCTTGAAAGGTCCCTATCTGACCCCTGTTACCTGATCAGCATGATAGTGTCTCCGGTGACTGGTGACATGCTGGTGTAACTTGCTTTCCAACACTGACAGTTTGGGGCGGAGCATGTGGGCGTCGCGACGTGGCTAAGTAAGACGAAACGCCGTCGCCATATGTTTGGCTCTAAATTCCACAGATTTGAACCGAGGTGCACCAAAATCAGTATGATCGATCATTATCTACCACTTGAACTGAAAACCATGATAATTGTCCAATTGCCTCCACAGCGCCTCCTAGAATATTTTAAAACCTGAGCCCAAAGCCATTTTTTGACCGATAATTCTGAAACTCAGTGAACATCAGTATTGTCTCAGGACCTATGAAAAAAGTATCTTGGAGCCCTGGTCCAAAACCAACAGAAAGTCAGCCATTTTGAGTCAATGATAAATCATCCTACCTGGACCAGATTTTTGGTGCATGATTTGTGAGCATTTCTAGACACAATGGTTTTGTTGTTTTACTTTTGACTCAAGTGCACCCCTACATAATTCAAACTGTTATATCTCAGTGATACATAATCTGATGTGGACCAGATTTTTGGTGCATTATTAATGAACACTTCTAGATACATTGGTGTTGTTGTTTAACTTTTGACTCCAGTGCGCCCCCTAGATTATTCCAACAGTTCTATCTCAGTGAAATATCATCTAATATGTACCAGATTTTTTTTTGCGTGATCAGTGATCACTTATAGACACATTGGTATTATTCTTTAACATTTGACTCAAGTGCACCCCCTACATTATTCCAACAGTTATTTGGACTTAAACTTGGTTAATGTGCCCTTAACACATTGCGGAGTAAAAGTTATCAAAAGCTTTCAGTTTTGTTTATGTTAAAGAGGCGTGGCCATGCCTCAAATTTGCGCTTCATGCCATAAATTTCCTAACACTATAACTTTCACATTGAAAAACTGAAATGCACCAAACTTGGCGTGACTCATCCCTGTTGGATGTCTGACGATCCACTGTCGTCATATAATGACGTTGTCAAAGCCCCGCCCCTTTGGAACAGGAAGTCTCTTTTTTTATTTGGAATGCTCCCTCTTTGACACAATTGATCTAATCTGGATGATCCTGTGTTAAAAGACAGATTTAGGCATATGCGCACCCTGGTAGACACGTGCGGAAATGGCACGACAGCGTTCGTGACGGCCACTGGGAGGTGTTACTGGAGCACCCGCGGGTGAGGTCAAGGGTTCGGTGAATGTGCACCCCCATGAACGGGTGTGGGACAGGAGCGGGACAGGAGCGAGACCGTTGCTGCAATTTTTTCCGCCAAATGAATTGGCGTTTTGGGGGCCTTAACATATCCCAAAAGTCACCAAATTTGACAGACACATTAGGACTGGTGAAAAATTATGTATTTTAAGGGGGTGGCAAAAATTGTGACAGAAACCGCTCAAGAGCACCACCTAGAAATTTTCAAAATACCCTCCGCCTTAACCTTAGTTTGTCGTAGAAACATGAAATTTGCCACACTTGTGCAATTCACCAAGATGCAAAGAAAACCCTCTGGCACCAATGTTGTATGATAAACAGGAAGGTGGCCATTTTGGAATGTCATCCCCATTTTCACACCTTTTTGGCTGATTACAGCCTCCACATTTGAACTCCTCCTCCTAGGGATTTCACTCAATCTATTTCAAACTTGGCCATTTTGGTCCAAAGGCATGGGAGACGAAAGTTATCAAAACGGTGCAAACTGAAGCATGCTGAAGGGGCGGGGCCAGACCTCAAATTTGGACATTTTGACATGAAAAACGAAACGCTAATAGCTCCTACACGAAAACTGTCTAAGACTTCAGTGATTGATCCACATCCGGTCCCCTGCAAGACTGAATGGTCAAGTCATTGCCTCACATAAGCCATGCCCCCTGACAACAGGAATTGTAAAGTTTTACGTTGAACTGTCCCTATCTGACCCCTGTTACCTGATCAGCATGATAGTGTGTCCAGGGAACGAAGACATATTGGTGTAACTTGCTTTCCAGCACTGACAGTTTGGGGTGGAGCATGTGGGTGTCGCGACGTGACGAAGTAAGACGTAACGTCGTCGCCATACGTTTGGCTCTAAATTCCAGAGATTTGAACCGAGGTTCACCAATATCAGTATGATTAATCATTATTCACCCCTTGAACAGGAAGCCATGATAAGTGGCCAATAGCCTCCACAGCGCCCACTAGAATATTTTAAAACCTCAGCCCCAAGCCATTTTTTGATCGATAATTCTGAAACTCGGCAAACCTGTATCTTTTCAGGACCTATGAAAAAGTCTCTTGGAGCCCTGGTCCAAACTCAACAGGAAGTCGGCCATTTTTGGTCAAATGGTCATTTTTAAGCGTTTCTAATGGCAAATTTTAACAAACTCATCCTAGGGATTTTGAGTGATTGCCTTCAAACTTGGTTAATATGCCAAATCACCTAAATCACTGTGATGATAATTATCCACCCCTTGAACAGGTATCCATGCTAAGTGGCCAATATCCTCCATAGCGCCACCAACATTATTCTTACAATTATAGCTCATTGATATAACATCCGATCTGCACCAGATTTGTTGCGTGTCATCAGTGAGCACTTTTAGACACATTGACATTGTTTAACATATGACTCTAGTGTGCCCCCCACATTATTCCAACAGTTATATCTCAGTGATACATCATCTGATCAGAACTAGATTTTTTTGTGTGTAATCGGTGAGCATGTCTAGACACATTGATATTGTGGTTTAACATATGACTCAAGTGCGCCCTCTAGATTATTTAATCAGTTATAGCTCAATGATATGTTATCGGATCTGCACCCGATTTTTGGTGCATCATTAGTGAGCACTTCTAGCCACATTAGTATTGTTTTTTTAAATTTTGACTCAAGTCTGCCCACTAGATTATTCCAACAGTTATATCTCAATGAAATATCATCCAATATGTATCAGATTTATTGTGGATGATCAGTTAGCACTTCTAGACACAATTGTATTGTTCTTTAACATTGGACTCCATTGCACACACTACATTATTCCAACAGTAATATCTCAGTTATATATCGTCCAATCTGTACCAGATTTATTGTGCATGATGAGTGAACCATTCTAAACACATTGGGAATGTTGTTTAACATTTGACTCCTTAGCACCCCCTAGATTATTCTAAAAGTTATATCTTAAAGATATGTCATCTGATCTGCACCAAATTTTGGGTGCGTGATTAGTGAGCACTTCTAGACACATTGGTATTGTTGTTTAATGTTTGACTCAAGTGCGTCCCAGTTTATTCCGTTATATCTCTGTGAATTATCATCCGATTGTAACCAGATTTTTTTGTGCATAATTGGTGAACACGTCTAAGCACATTCATATTGTGGTTTAACATATGACTCAAGTGTGCCTCCTCTCATACTGATATGGGCGGAAGGCAATTGCAGAGTTTAGGCATATGTGCACCCTGGTGGACGCATGCGGGAATGGCATGAGAGCATTCGCAAAGGCGAATTTGAGGCGTTGATGGAGCGCCCGCGGTCGCGGATGATGTCGAAGCTTCAGCGAATGCGCACCCCGGTGAATGGGTGCGGGACGGGAGCGAGAGTGTTTGCCATGGCAACTGGGCGGAGTCGCTGGAGCTCCCGCGGTCGCCGTAAGGCCAGAGCGGCACTTTGCTGCGAGGGCCTTCAATACTGCTTGTAGCTTTAATACTTGTTCTTTAATGGAAAAGAAGAGCGTGAACAGCTCAAACACTTGGAGCTCCACCACATGTTCATTTAAAAACAGGCAACATACAGATCAACATCACTGCTTCTTAATAAGACGGATCCTGCTGCTAATAAAATGCAAAACAACAAAACAAGACAGTTTCATCCAAGTATGCATATGACCTGTGGATATAGTGAGAGAAATGTATGTACAATAAACCCCGACTTTGCTGTCAATACCTAGAATAAAAGTGTCAAATTGCTTTATTTAATGATTTAAGGATCCATGTAATAAAACTACTACAGTAGGAAGAGCAGCCCCTCCCCTGAATGATGAGCTTGTAATGGACACAAAGGTGGTTAGAGGCTGCACAGATCAGTCTACACACTCTGCTTCGCAACCTGTCTTAGAAGTCCTAAATTCAACCATGAAAAGTTGTTTCTGTTTGTTTTCTGGATTCTTCAGGTGTGTAATACCACTCAGGTGACACCCTTCAAAGTAGTGGCTAAAAACGAAGAGCGTGGTCAACCAGAGGCTTCCTACGTCCGCTTGGTCAAAGTCTTTTTACCCCACAACACTGAGGTTGAGCTACAGAAGGGCCGCAGAGTTCTGGTACACAACTTTGTCTCAGACATTACTTTGGGTGTTCTCAATAAAATAAGGGAACCCAACAAGTTACTGACATGTTTTCTGACTCGCTGCAGTTGAACGGGCGGCGGGTACGAACCCCTTTTTCCATTGATTTGGTGGGAGCCAAAGTGATAACCAGTGGATCCTACAGTCTGCTGGACACAAACTTTGGTTTGCAAGTGAAGTTTGATGGAGTCCATCACCTGGAAATCATTGTTCCTGGAGAGCACTTCAATAAGGTACAAACACTCAAGTGTTCCTTGGTTTCACAGCTGGTAACTTTTCAAAGTTTCTATATATCTGTCTCCTCCAGGTGTGTGGCATGTGTGGAAACTACAATCATGATGGCTCTGATGATAACCTGATGCCTAACAATAAACCAGCTAAGGATGCCATTGAACTGGGTAACAGCTGGAAATCAGAAGGCGACAGTGATCCTGGGTCAGTGACAGACAACATGAGCCCATGCTGAACTTTGATATCCGTAACTAACTAGAACATTAGCACTTTCTCTGAAATACAGCATGAATGTGAGGCACTGAATGACTTACCTCATATGTGTCAAACTCAAGGCCCGGGGGCCAAATGTGGCCCTCGTTGACATCTTATCTGGCCACCAAGATGATATTTGAAATGTACAATACTTCTATCGCTTAAATTTTTTCCAGTAATCTTTGATTATGATGTCAAAAGCACAACAGAGAACATCAAATGAGACCAATCAAACTCTTGTTGAGGAACCTGGGACCAAGAAAATATGTTGGGTATCTGATTTGAGCTAATGTAGTTTCTGAAATTGGCCCTTAGTTTGAAAAAGGTTTTAATTTTGGCCCCCTTTTGTAAGTGAGTTTGACACCCCTGACTTACCTGAATGAAGAAGAAGCTGAAACTATCCATCCATCCACCATCTTTTACCCACTTCTTCCTTTTCGGGTCACGGGGATTATTGATGCCCATGATCAGCAGTCACTGTGTGAGAGGTGGGGTACACCCTGGATAGGTCTCCAGTCCATCACAGGGACATCTGGACAGGTCTCCTGGCCATCACAGGGACACATAGACAGGTCTCCAGTCCATCACAGGGACACCTGAACAGGTCTCCAGTCCATCACAGGGACACATAGAAACAAACAAGACAAACAACCATTCAGTTGCTCACTCTCACCTAGAGACAATTTAGAGTTACCAATCAGCCTAACAACAAAGTCCATGCTCAATAATCCAGGTATACAATCCAACATTTTTCAGTCAGGTCATCTGGACAGTTTTTTTTTTGTGCTGAAACGTTTCGCCTTTGATCCGGAAGGCTTCATCGGTCAAGGAAACACACAACAAAACCGATTCTTCGCCCAACAGCTTACTCCAAAGTGGAACAAACCAGTTCTGCTTGTGATAAGATGGTCTCTTTGGTACACCCCCTCCTCCATTGCCGGCCCTCTTCCTTGTTGACAGTCTTGTCAAACTGGTTGAAAACAACAAAGTCCATGCTCAATAATCCAGGTAAACAATCCAACATTTTTCAGTCTGTTCATCTGGACAGTTTCTTTTTTTGTTCTGAAACGTTTCGCCTTCGGTCCGGAAGGCTTCATCAATCAAGGAAACACACAACAAAACTGATTCTTCCCCCAACAGCTTACTCCAAAGTGGAACAAACCAGTTCTGCTTGTGATAAGATGGTCTCTTTGGTTTGTGCTAAAACCAAATACGAAACGTTTCAGCACAAAAAAGAAACTGCCCAGATGACCTGACTGAAAAATGTTGGATTGTATACCTGGATTATTGAGCATGGACTTTGTTGTTTTCAACCAGTTTGACAAGACTGTCAACAAGGAAGAGGGTCGGCAATGGAGGATGGGGCGTATGTTATTCTCATTGAGCCTTGAGGACTCATTTACAAGAGAGACCTGTAAACATGCGTGTTTTTGGTCTGTGGGAGGAAACCGGAGTACCCGGCGAAAACCCATGCAGTACGGAGAGAACATGCAAACCAGAATTGTCCCCGGCCGAGATTTGAACCGGGGTGACCTAGTCACTGAGATGCGGCAGCTCTACCAATTGCACCACCGTGCCGCTCAAGCTCAAACTACTAACTTAAAATAAAAAATAAAAAAAATTAGCAAAACCTTAAATTAGCTAAAGAAAAAAAGCTTAAAGCTAAAACCAGTACAAAAACAGCTAAAATCTAAAATTTGCAAAAGCTAAGCTAAAATAAGTAAACAAGAATTGATCAAACTGTTTTCTATTAAAAATAAACTTAAATGAGTCAAAGTATTGCAGCACGGTGGTGCAACTGGTAGAGCTGCTGCCTCTCAGCGAGCAGGTCCCTGGTTCAAACCCCGGTCCAGGGGCCTTTCTGGGTGGAGTTTGCATGTTCTCTCCGTGCATGCGTGGGTTTTCTCCGGGTACTCCGGTTTCCTCCCACAGTCCAAAAACATGCATGTTAGGCTGATTGGTAACTCTAAATTGTCCCTAGGTGTGAGTGAGAGAGTGAATGGTTGTTTGTCTCGTTTGTCTCGTTTGTCTCTATGTGGCCCTGTGATGGACTTGCGACCCATCCAGGGTGTACCCCGCCCCTCGCACAGTGATTGCTGGACATGGGCACCAGCGACCCCCGTGACCCAAAATGGAATAAACGGGTAAAGAAAATGGATGGATGGATGGATGGAGTCAAAGTATTAAAGTTAATGAATGGTCTGAACCAGATCTGAGTTGCTGAAATAAATTTGCAGAAGAAAACGTTTGACTGAATTACATTGTCCTTTTTGTAGCTGTCAGCCAGACACTCGTCCAGACGTCCACCCAAACTGCACCACAGAGGAGGAGAAGCTGTACAAGGACCAGTGTGCCCACACCATCCTCTCTGAGCTCTTCAGGCCCTGCCACTCTCTGGTGCCCCCTGAAGCCTTCCTGGGGAACTGTGTCTACGACATGTGTGAGTACAACGGCATGCAAGTGACCCTGTGTGACAATGTGGAGGCCTACGCTCAGGCCTGTCAGAGCACCGGAGTCACCGTCAGCTGGAGGAACAACACCTTCTGCCGTAAGTGTCCCTCACAACCCAGAGACCAGCTGAAGGTATACTGCTTTTAGACCTCCTTCTGCTCCTTCCCCACAGCCGTGCCATGCCCTCCTAACAGCCACTACTCTGACTGCACCGAGCCTTGCCCCCCCACCTGCTCTGACCTCTTCCCCATATTCTGCCACCTCCCTCCAACCACTTGTGTGGAGGGTTGTGAATGTAACGCTGGCTTTGTTCTAAGTGACAACAAATGTGTTCCTCTGGACAAGTGTGGCTGCCTGGACTCAGACGGAGAATATCATGATGTAAGTTCACTTCCTGGATGTTGGTTCAGGTTTGGTTTTACATTTAGACCCAGCGTTCCTTTGCACCATTCATGCCACTATTTCAGACCAAAACCTTTTCCAGCTGAGGAAAGGGTGAAGCTGTAGCTATTTTGATCAAACCTTGAAAATGTAGTCATGTGTGACCTCATGTTATATTATAAAGTCTCACACTCAGAATACATGCTGCCAAAGACTCTCAGCTACTATCACATCAAATATATTCTCGTTGTATCTCGGTACATAAATAAATTTGACTTGACTACAATGATAATAAAGTGTCATGATCAGCGGCCCCCGCTGGCCCCCCATCTGCTCACTTCCCCTTCCCCTTCATGACATGTCATGTTTTCTGCCCTTCTGGTCATAGACCCTTACCCCAGCAACCAGCAGACTATTTAATAAAAACTGTTCTTGTTTTTGCAGTCCTGTGTCTGGCTTATTCTGAATCCTAAACCCTGGTTTGTGACATAAAGCTTGTTCTGATTCTAAAGACTCTCTGCTACTACCACGTCAAATTAAAGACTCTCAACTACTACCATGTCAAATCTTAGCTCGATATTTGTAAACTGATGGTGTTGCAGCCATTTTAAAGTTTTTTTACGGTCATCTTGTAGCAGACAGTTTGAACTGAATTAGCTTCAAAATTAACCAATTTTACAATGATTATTTCCATCTATTGGTTCATGAGATATTTTGCTAACTGACAGAGTTGACTCCAAGTAGTTAATGGTAACATTTTAAACAAAGATGTTGTACAGTCTGTTTGTATTCAAAACAAAATTCAACCTTTGGAGATTGTAGCACAGGTTGTGTAACGTAGAGTGTGATGTCACACGAATGCTTCAGTTGTCTAAACTTTCCAACATTCTTTGAAACAATTATTTTTCTTCTTACAGTCCTGGGGTTGAATAGTCTTATCATTTTCTCTCAATTCTCCCGTAGTGCACACACCCAAACTACCACTGATTTTCATTGTATCTGAGCTCAGACTTGTCTCTTTCAAACAGGAAGTGAAGGCTCTTTTTAACTATGGCCTCCATAAAACCCTGCTGAGCCAATGAATCAACACGTGTGACCATCAGAATGTTGTGCTGCTCACAATTAAAATATTTCAGTACATCTTAGAGCAGGGGTGTCCAATACGCTGATGGTGATCTACCTGTCAATCTCAAAGGTATTATGGATATTATTACATACAATGGGTATTATTACATACATGATACCCATGTAATGCTATGGGTATCATGGCATGAAAAAAATAGACGCCAGCCTATTATCCATCTATGAAATTTGTCACTTGATTGACATACAGCAGCCAGTCTGTGAAACCGAAGGTTTCTGAATCCAGGTCTCAGAGGCGAGAATTTCGGGGGAACGCCCAATGGAGGTGTGAAATTCTCTGCAAGTGTGAAGTGGCACATGTACACTACAAGCGGCTGCAGTCCAAAGTTTTTCTGCATTAACAACAGTTATAATAAATGGCAGAGAGCAGAGTGTTTTTGTGCTGCTCACCCTTTTTCAGCATGTAGGAGCAAAACTAATAAAATCCAGGGCCCAAAGAGACGTTGGTGTATTCACCATTTTGGGCGTAACAGTGATCATGCAGTCCTGCATGTGCAATAAATGCAGATGAGCCCTTCTGGGTTGCCAGATCAATTTTAAATGTCTATTTACCCCTCCTTTTCTGTGCATGTACAACATACACAACACACACCTCATCTTAGAATATTTTTACTCGGCACATATGACATAGGTCAATATACTATCATTTTAAGTCACAGTACTATAGTTCATAATTTCTTATCTGGCAACCCAACTGACATGGAAACTATAGCGGTTTCATGTAAACCCACTCATCTTTTGTTTATTACCCCCAATAAACATTTATTTATTATTTAACGTTTCCTGCAGGATGGTTGTTGGTTGTTGGATGTTGGATGTTGGATGATGTCTATCATGGTGCACTAAGATTCATAACTGGCTGTGATTATCGTACCCACCACTGCACCCTGTATTCACTGGTTAACTGGACATCATTAACTTCGCGCAGACTCTCTCACTGGTACATTTTCATCTTTAAATCACTTCTTGGTCTGCTGCCTTCATACATCTCCTCCTGCATGTCTCTGCAAGAGTGCAGCTACGGAGTGCGCTCTCAGGACATTATTACCTGCAGTGTTCCCTCAATGAGGACTGAACTAGGCAAAAGGGCCTTCTCCTACTTCGCTCCTGTTTCCTGGAATTTCTTACAAAAATATTTGAAGCTCTCGACCTTGACCTCTCTAAGTGGCTTTAAGAATCTGTTGGTCTCCTGGCAGGGACCAATGCAGACATGTTCCTGTTATTGGTTTTCTACATTCGCCTTAGAATCTAGCTGTTTTTTGTTTTTTTTGGTTACCTTTTTCTTTTAGCCATCCTATTTGTAAAAAAAAAACAAAAAAAAAACTGCAGTATGACTTTTTATAATTGTTTATTGTTGTTGCTGTTCTCCATTGTTGTCATCTTTCTTTGTTGAAATCAGGTCTCTCTTATAAATGAGTCCTTGGGGCTCAATGGGATTACCTGTCTAAATAAAGGTTGAATGAATAAAGTTCTATTTTATCTTACCTTTATCTTATCTTATTTCAACATTTCCAGAGGTTGTTCTCATGTAAACGGGACCTTATAGTAGGTAGATCACTTTGATTTTGTAATTTTAAAAGTAGCTCACATGCTTAAAACCTTGAGTAGGCGACTGCTTACCTGAGGCTTTGGTTACCATCAAGACCGGATGAGCCACTTGGCAGTATCTTTAATCCGTATTCTCTTGTTGGTTCGTGTTACTCTTCTACGCATTTTGACGTTTATACGTCAAAATGTTTGCAGTGTTTTCAGCCCAGAACATCACAACAGGAGCTGGATTTACTGTAGAGCTTTAGACAAGGAAGAGTTTCAGACTGTGTTGGTACCCTTTATCACTTCTGTCCACGTGATTTAGTTTGAAAAGGGCCAGTGTCTAAAGTGTGTGTGTGTGTGTGTGTGTGTGTGTGTGTGCGTGCGTGCGTGCGTGCGTGTGTGTGTGTGTGCAGGTGGGAGACTCATGGCTGACAGATAAATGTGCTAAGTCCTGTTCGTGTAACCTGGGTGGTACAATTACGTGTTTGGACAACAGCTGTAACTCAAACTCTGTTTGCACTCTGGACAAGTATGGAGACCTGTACTGCCATCCCACCAGTGAGTCCAACACATGTTTGAGATAAAAACTGGACCTTTCAGAGGACATGAGCTGGTTTTGATCATTTTGTCTCCATCATTGTCGCCTCTAGAGTTTGACAGGTGCAGCGTCTCTGGAGACCCTCACTATCGAACATTTGATGGGTTCACACATCACTTCCAGGGACCTTACACCTACATCCTGGCTCAGGACCATAATCTGCAAAGCAACCTGGTGCCTCTGCTGGTTAGAGGGAAGAACATTAGACGAGGAGGCAACAAAAGGGTCTCGTTCCTGGACCAGATGTATGTGGACATCTACAATGTCAACGTCCGCTTCTTGCAGAAGAGAGTTGTCCTGGTCAGTGGGCATCTGTTTTTAGTTCTCCTGTTGGTGCTAGTTCTTGAGCCACGTGTTACTGTATTACCTACAGGTGAACGGGGAGCTAGTCACTCCTCCTCTAAGTCCAGTCAGTGGTTTAACCATCACTATGAACTCAAGGCAGGTCCAGCTCACCACAGACTTTGGACTCACTGTAAACTTCGATGGAAACAGCCGTGGAGGTAAAACCTCTGAAAGGGTCTGACTGAGTCTTTAATGTGTTTGTGTATGAGTCTGCTCATTCCTTTCTTCTACAATCAGAGGTCATACTCCCCAGCACCTACAGGTACTCAGTCCGAGGACTGTGTGGGAACTACGATGGTATCACCAGAAATGAGTACATGAAGCCTGATGGGACAGTGGTCCAGGACCTGAACGTGTTTGGAGAAAGCTGGAGAGTCGGTGATCGACAGGCTGATGGACCAAATACGTCTAACTTCCCTATAAATGTCCGCACCCACAGGTAGGACTCCACTTGTGTCCCCTCTGTCACGTGGTCTCAGGTATTAGATGGGTCCAAATGAAACAAAAAAATACTCTAAAAAACTGGAAGGTTGTGGCTTTGACTGCTGAAGATGTAATTGAGGGTTTTACATTGTACTGTAATCTGTGGAAAGACTTTTTTTGCTATCTTCTGTTTCTAAAATATTTTCCTGCTGCTTCACCATGTCCTGAACTCCACACACGCATAACTTATTTGAACCATGTAAGGACGCAACTACAGTATAGAACGGGGTGTCCAGTCCTGGTCCTGAAGGGCCACTATTCTGCAGGGTTTAGATGTTTTCCAGTTCTAACACGACTGATTTGAATCAAAGGGTGATCAACGGCTTCTGCAGAACATAAAAATTATTCAACCATTGAATTACGTGTGCTGGAACAGGAAAACAAGTACATCCTGCAGGACAGTGGACTTGGAGGACCAGGATTGGGCACACTTGGAGTAGATCATGCCATGCCAGCATGTTTCTTTCACCAGGAGTATCACGTTGTGTGCTTGGTTGGTAGAGGTGTTACTAAGTCATTGTTTTGCAAGTCTCAAGTCTTTATCCTCAAGTCCTGAGTTAAATTTCAAGTCAAGACAGTCAAGTCAGATGGTGGGGAGGGGGTGTTCGTGGGTCCACTCACATAAAATTTTGAATAACAGGGATGCCATTTCCTGCATTTTGGTGTATTTTAACGGGCATTTACATACATTAGTAAACTGAATAAAATTACTATTTTGGAGAGGAACAGCAGGTTGTGTAGCTCTGATTCTGTCAGGTGTCCTGAACCCCCCTTCTCCCTCCCCTCACTTCATGGTTCTGAGCTGAACTTGTCTCCGCTCCTGCTCCAGTCTCGTGGCACCGTTTGAACAACCTGAAGGCTTCAATTATCTGTTGTCCAACCAAGGACAATCCATCCATCTATCCATCCATCCATCCATTATTTATTAAAGTAAATTGGACTGGTTTTTTTACATTTTGATCCTGTTGTTATTTTGACAAATTAGCGCCGTTGTTTTGAAACGTGATGTATAATGTGAATAACACATCAAACATTTCTCTCTTTGTATTTTTAATTTATTTTTTTACAGTAAGCTTTTTATATTATGTCTGAAATGTAGCAGGAGTTCAGACATCTGCTGATGTGTGCGCACTAGAGCTGTCTGGAGACGTTTCTGTGCATAACTAGCACTGTCCACAGGGAATTTATTTATTCTGTTAAATAAATGATTGTTTCTGTTGTGGGGGTCTGAGAGGAGGGGAGAGGGGGTGTTTTTCAGTGCACAGTCCTGCTGAGTAGGGATAATATTTGGAGAGCAGGAGAAGAGGACTCTGCGCAGATCTTCTGCGTAAGGCTTCTGTCCCTCCGTCCTCACCCCACCCCCCCGGTCTAGAGGCTCCTCTCCTGTTCCTCGAAGGAGCGTGTAACTGTGTGCTGTGGCTGAACCATTCACAGACTGGGTCTGCCAGACTAAAGGCAACGTCTCCTCTTGTTTTATTTTTTTAAATAAATAATCAAAATAAATATGTGCGATGACTTTGAACTTTTAGGGACGGAGCTGCCGGATCTGAACAGAGTTGCCAGAACAGAAGGGGTCCAAATGAGAGAGTTTGCGGATCTTGTTCCGGCAGGATTCGGCTCAAATTAACCACTGTTTCAAACCCAATATGACTTTCAGACAGAGGCTGGTCCACCCTAAGGACAAAACACACCCATACCCAAACAGAGTGGTGTGGTGTCTGCAGTGCAGCGAGAAATGCCCAGAACTATGTTGAAGACTCTATATTGGAGAAACTAAACAACTTCTTCACAGACGCAAGGCTCAACACAGGAGAGCCAGCTCTTCAGGACGACTCAGCGGTTCACCTACACCTCAAGGATAAAGGTCCCTCTTTTGAGGACCATAATGTTCACATTTTGGACCGAGAAGACAGATGATTTGAGAGGGGGATGAAGGAAGCTATCTATGTAAAAAGAGAAATAAACAACTCTAACCAGAGGAGGAGGTCAGATTTCCGCTTTCAAAAACCTATTATGCAAATTTAGGCCTGATACCCAGTAAGTTTCACTCCAATCAAGAACTTCATTCATGTGATCAGAGTGGCCCATCTGTGAGTCAGACTATCAAAGACCATAACAAACCTCTGTTGTGAGGAGTGAGAGAGCAATCTGCAAGTTTACCGAACACCTCAGCTTTATAACTTGAACCCCACACTCCCTGTTTGAATCGAGAAAGCTCCTTGGCTGAGAAGTGAAACGTCTTCAACTACAGAATAGAAGTCCAGTTGTTTTTGCCTTTAATCTTTTTTGGATTTACCATGTCCTGGATTGCTGAGAATCTTCAACAGCATACATACAGAGTTTAAAAAGACAGAGAGACGGTCTGTGTTTGTTAATATGGAATGAGTGAAATGAATTAACGAGGCACACTTTTTAAATTTGTTTTAAACTTTTGATTATGGGTAAAATATCAAGTCTCTTCAAGTAGACACGTAAAAGTCCAATTCAAGTCCCATGTCATTTTGTAAAAGACCAAGTCAAGTAGCTGAACATTTTTTTCGAGCCAAGTCTAAAGTCATAATATTAATGGCTCGAGTTCAACTTGAGTCCAAGTCATGTGACTTGAGTCCACACCACTATACTTTGTTATAATGACTGTCTTAACCTAATTATGATGCCAAAGTGACTTCTTTAAAATATTTACCAACCAAGAAAACCCAGTCAACACAGGGCCAGCTTCATGATTACATTGCTGCCATGCTCCACCATGATCCTCATACTCTGCCAGTATGATGATACCTTCCTTACTGGTGTGTTGTTCCTGCTCAAACCTACCATGGACCCATCACGCTCCATCAAAGCCCACTGTGTTCCATTATTGCATTACTATATTTGTCCCTTTAAAACATTTTGGGGATTAGGCTAATTATATCTTGTATAATTAGTATTTGATTGTTTGAGGCTGTGGTGTTTTTCCATCCACCTATAAATAGGCCAGTCCCAGGAAGCTCTGCCGGCGCTCTCTCTTTTTTTTGGCTCCCTCTTTGTTTTTGCCTGCTCTCTGGCTGCCCTAATTTTTTTGGGGGGGGGGGGCTCTTTTTCCTCTTGCTCATCCTGTCACCCGGATGAGTCTCAATGGTGTAGGCAGAAGCCGCTGGCCTCAGCCGGAATTATTATTATTTTTTTTTAGTTAACTTTTGCCTATATTTTTGTTGTAACTTTGGCCCGGTTGTTGTTTTCACTTTTTCTTTTACAATAGGTATTTTTTAGGCTTTTTTCTAGTTTAGTATGGTGTAGTGAATGTGGGGGTCAACTTCACTATTATCCTTAAAGCTAGTTCAAGCACAAAGAATATTAATTATTTAAATACAACGGATTCTTTCTTTTTCGAGTTAAATTAATGCCATGTGACCGAGATAACTGTGAGGATTGTTTAATCAGTGACATGAGATGCCATTTTTCTTTGACCCATCAGAATAAATGCGGTCATTTATTTAACAGAATCAAAATTTAACATCAAAACATGTACACTTTGATTTGCTGATCTGTTTCTGATTAATAAAAACTTGGCACGCTTTACTAACAAGACAACAGAACATTTCTGAAGGCATCTAGATTGATTTACTGGTGAAGAGGTTTACAAGAGGAGAGATTTAGAGGTTTAAAGAGGAGGACTTAGATGGATGAAGGAAGATGCATGTTTTGTTGACCAGAATTAGCACGCTTCTTTCAACACCAGCTCAAACCCCCGGTACACTCGGTGCGTGACGACTCGTTACCTTTGCAGAAGATGAATCAGCTTCGGTACAGGGTCCATTTCAACGCTACCTTTCCAGCGTCTCTGGTTATAGCGGCTGGTCATTGTCAGAAGTCGTGTGGTTTACTCCGTTAAACAGAACCAGCTTCCTTCGAAGTTGTAGGGCGTTACGCCCGGGTGAGTTCACAGCGAGGCGCTGTGATTCCGCTGGGATGGACGGACCCTTGTCTCACGGTCAAATCCATCAGCTTTTGATTAAATCTGAAAGTTCCTTAGGAACTCTCAGGAAGACTCCATAGTCCCAAGAAAGACTCAGGAAAACTCCGGTCAAAGACTGAAGAAGACTGAGACTCAAGAAGACTTCAAGAAGACTGAATATTTCCAGGAAGTGTTGACTTTTAAAGAGTCCTCACTTCCGGTCACTTGGTACTTCCTAATTGGTTGAAACAACCAACAGGGAGTGGTTCTAGTGACGTCAGAGGGTTATTAAAAGTCAAGAGAGGATGCAGGAATGTTTAGGAACAATTAGTACAGACAGAGAAATGTTTTGAAGAAGTGAGAGGAAGCAGGTGCCAGTTGCTTCTTTTTTACCATCTGCTAGGTTTAAAAACAAAACACTTGGTTCTAATAACTTGTCTCTGTCTGTCTCTGACTTTCGACCGACATCACTACTCCTCATTGAGACAGAAGATCAAAATGCATAATTACTTTGTAAATAGACATTTAACTTGATTTCTAATTTCTAATGAGGTTTAAAAATCATTAATACTGTTTCACAGTTGATTTAAAATGAGTGGTTCACTTCAACATTTAGAAATGGTATGAACTAAACACACTTTGATTATCAGAAAGAAGAGTGTTCTTTCAATTGATTAATTCAGGATACAATTAAACAGTCTCTTGATGAGCTAATTTGTATTTCTGGATTCAAATCAATGAAATAACAGTTCCTGTCCCATGAAGGTCTTCAGAGACAGATTGTTGTCAGAGGCCTAGTTCACTACACTGGTACCAGCAGCGGCTTCAACGGCCCTGTATAGGGTTGGTCCACTGCTGTATTGTTTTTTGTTCTGTTTGACTGGCTCACCAGGCCCATCTTTCCATTGATACTTTGTGTTTTTGTATTTTTTGTTGGACACAGAGAGTGTGAGTTTATGGCTTTCTCTTTTTTCCTTGCAGCTGATTGACCAGGAAGAGAAAACCTTTAAATTAATTGAACGTCGAACCCTTATGTTTTGAGTCTGTGTCCTTATTAATATGTCGTGTTCTTGGTGGACTTAACACCCATAAAGACCATCCACGTTGACTGAACCTTCACATCTTAGCAGGATCATCAGCCAGTGTGGCGGGGGCCTAAATCAGCTGGGTCTACACAAATATTAGATCCCTAAAAGGCCCTCTATCTGATAAATGATGATAGTCACAGATCTGAAGAAACATTTCTAATTAAATGATTAACCTGTAAGGGAACTGCCACGTTCCGGCCATTTAAAATTTTTGATTTGACAGTTTGGCATTGTTCTCAGCTACTAGCACACCAAATTTCAGCTTGATATATCAAAAAATGGCTGATTCATAGTGTTTTTTCCATTTTAGCTCAGGCTATCTTGGATTTTTGATTTGCAATCAAAATTTATTAGAAATTGTTCTCTGCTACCAATGCATCAAATCTCAGCTAAATAGCTCTTAAAATCTTTGAATTATATCAATTTGAAATTATATTTGGCAGTCATTTTGCATTTTTAGATTTAAATTCAAAATATGTTGTGCATCACTGTCAAGTACCACCACACCAAACTTCAGCTCACTATAGCTGAGTTATCATATTTTTTTCCCTTTTTGCTATGGTGACCATCTTGGATTTTAATTTGTTTTAGGAATTTATAACAACTCGCTCTCTGTTACAACCATACAAAACGTAAGCTCAATATCCCTAAGAATGACTGAGTTATAGTAAATTTAGAGTTTTCTGAGGTAGCTATGGCAAAATGACCGGCTCAACACCGTGATGTGTGCCATTACTTTTATTGGTGTTTTAAGTTACCACGGCAATGCTTTATGATAATTTACAAAGCCGTCAAACCAAAATGGCTAGAAAATTTAATCAGTTTTTTGTTCAGAGACCTCTCTGTTCATGTGACCTCACTGTGGCAGTAAGAGGCTGTGAAGAGTTCTGTCAGTTTTTCCATGAGAAAAATGTCTTCTTTGTAAATTATCATAAATCATTGCCATGGTAACTTAAAACACCAATAAAAGTAATGGCACACATCACGGTGCCGAGCTGGTCATTTTGATATAACATTTGTGGGGGGACAAATTGTGGTCTGGGCTGAATTAAAGCTGATAGAAGAGCAAGACCCTTGAATATGGATCCTTTCCATGAGTCTGTAAAATTCACCTGAAGATGGGAGCCTTGATCTTCATTATTTCCTACTCAGCTGTCTGTCCTTCATGTCTGTCTCACTCAGCTATCTGTCCTTCATGTCTGTCTGTAGACGGGAGGTGGAGACTGATCCAGATTCTGGATTTGAGACGTCGGACTGCTCTCAGGCTCAGCTCAGTGACTACAGTAGCGTGATGAAGTGTGGAGCTCTGTCAGACCTGATGGGACCGTTTGCTTCCTGCCACACTGCTGTGCCACCCAGGACCTACCAGGAGTCAGTACTCTGTGTTTGTGTGAAAGATGTTGGCAGGTCACTCCCAAACTAAAATGTTCAAAAGTACAAGTTGAAAATATTTGTTACAGAAAAAAGACTGAATATTATTCACAAAACAAAGGTCAGATAATTTTACAGAAAAACATAAGAATACAGTACTATTTACAATAAAATTATATTTACATGATAAAGCTTTAAATATTCTACATATATTTACACAAAATACTGATTTACAAAACAATCTGAATTTTAATAAAAGAAAGAGAAAAAACTTATTTAAACAACAAAAATGTAATGGTAAATTGACTGTACTTACTGTATATAGCACGTTGGTTGTGTATTGTAACCCCAGATTCTGAGTATAGGCGTAGCCCTTTAAGGCTATTGCTAGTGGGTTTATCCCTGCGCGTGCAGCGCAGCACTGACAACTTTAATCTACTCCCACTTGCTGTGTGGGTCCCACCCCCGGTCAATATAAATTGCCCTGAGACCGGGGTTCGGCTCCCAATATAACTTATTCTTCAGCCATTTAGGAACCAGTGAGGCCCAGATCTTAAAGGACTATTCCTATACTCATGGGGTTACAATATGTAACCAACGTTCTATTTTGTATAGGCTTCGCCCTTTAAGGCTATTGCTAGTGGGTTAAAGACGAAGCAGGATGAGTCTATGCCTCACTGGGTCCGTCCGGAACCACAATCACACAGATATCGTTTATATTCATGAACACATTGAACCTTGGATCATGCGTAATTATGCACCGCCGAGTCTGTTCACCTGATGTGTGCTGAACGTCAAATGCATAGCCTCTGTGTCAGTCTGAGGCTGGAATGTCAAATCCTGTTCTTGTTGCTAGGTGACAGGAAGGGCAAAATCCATCCATCCATTCATTATCTTTACCCGCTTATTCCATTTTGGGTCACGGGGGTCGCTGGTGCCCATGTCCAGCAATCACTGTGCGAGGGGCGTGGTACACCCTGGATGGGTCGCAAGTCCATCACAGGGCCACATAGAGACAAACGAGACAAACAACCATTCACACTTTCACTCACACCTAGGGTCAATTTAGAGTTACCAATCAGCCTAACATGCATGTTTTTGGTCTGTGGGAGGAAACCGGAGCACCCGGAGAAAACCCACGCATGCACAGAGAGAACATGCAAACTCCACCCAGGAGGCCCCTGGACCGGGGTTTGAACCAAGGACCTACTCGCTGAGAGGCAGCAGCTCTACCAGTTGCGCCACCGTGCTGCCCGGAAGGGCAAAATATTTTTTATTAATCTGAGATTGAATTGTCAGAAATACCTGCTGCTGGAAAACGAACAGGTTGGAAAGTTTAATGAGAACAACTGTGTTGTCACTCAGCCAGGACTCCGAGGACCAAGTGGGTCAGAGAGAAACTGGAGGCGTTGCATAGGTAAAAGCAAATGAAAGGGATTGGTGAAAACCAAGAAGCTGCAGAACAAATGTCCTGCACTGATACTCCTCCGTGCAGAGTGACAAAGGTTGAAATTCTTATGATGGAATGAGCCTTGAGCTCGTCTGGGGGCTGGAGTACAGAAGAACTATAAGCTTACATATGGCCTCATGACCATGTGACAGATGCTGGGCAGACAAAGGTTGTCCATGTGACTGGTTTCTAAAATGTACAAATAGGTGCACGGATTTACGTAATGTGGCTGTGCATGCGATGTAATAGGCGAGCATGCATACTGGGCAAAGAAGATGGGAATTTGCTTCCTCCTCAGAGCTATGTGAGAGGGGAAAAAATGTCCTGATGCATGCTCAATAATCCAGGTAGAAAAATCCAAAAAAGTTAAATCTGGTCCTCTGGACATTCAAAAAACAAAACAAAGCAAAACAACAACAACAAAAAAATGTAGAAACGTTTCATCTTTCATCCGAAAGACTTCCTCAGTCTGAGGTGCTGTCTTCAGCTCAGTCTCTTAAATAGCACCTTCTCAGAGTGGATCAACCAGTTTGCTGCTGACAATCAAAACCAGCTGCTCACATGATCAAGAAGGACCATCAGCCTAACAATGGATCATTAGCACACTGATGGCTGTTTACTATTCACAGGAGGCTGAGTGATACTAGCAATAACAGCATTGTAAGAGTCAGAGTCAGAGTTTCTTTATTGTCATTCGCACCTCATGTGGTACATGTGGTGGAGCGAATAACTGCATTGAACTGCATTGAATTTATTTTTCGGTTTTGTTTGTTTTATTTGATTTGTTTTTTGAAAGTCCAGAGGACCAGACTTAATTTTTTTAGATTTTTCTAACTGGATTATTGAGCATGTATCACGATATTCTTAAGTAAAGGTTTAATTACAGCAATTTTAAAGCTCTGTGTTACATAAATGTTTATTAGAGATAAATGAAGCAGATACAAGATGTGGTTATTAATTAAGGGAAATACATCTTTAAATTGGTTGAGGTGGGTTCTAGCAGACATGTGGATGGTTTGGATGAAGCTGTTATAATTGATAACTCAAAGTACTCAACAGGACAAAAACAATCCAGACATAAATATTTAATAGTAAGTCAGTTAAGAATTCTGAGAATTCAGACAAAAACTGAGCATAGGAGCCTGATGGACGATATATAAGAACTAGTGAGAGTGGCCATTCCGTTTTCCAGTTTGGATGGGATATACTTAGAGACAGTGACTCAAAAGTATTATAACTACTAATTGGTTTAGTATTAATTAATAACCCCGACTGAAAAATAGAAGCTACCCCTCTGCCTCAACCAGTTATTCTAGGAACATGAACATTTTAATAATTAGGTGGAGTGGATTCATTTATACTAACAAAATCCTCCCGTTGTAGCCAAGTTTCTGTCAGACAGAATAAATCAATATGATGATCAGTTATCAGTTCATTAACTAACAGGGATTTAGAGGAAAGAGATCTGATGTTCACTTTACTACACACACATTCATACATCACTGTACAGCAACTACAAAGATAAATCTGAATCTGTAGAGATTAATCAGAGCTATAGATCACATTCATACACCAATGGTACTCATCAGAGGCAATGAGGGGTTCAGTGTCTTGCCCAGGGACACTTCAACATGTGACTGCTGGAGAAAAACAACCCCCAACTCTCCCATTGGACGATGACTGCTCTAACCACTCAACCACAGCTGCCCCAATAAAATTAATTAATTAATTAATTAATTAACATTTTATGTGCAGAGATAAAGTTGTATTTTTTACACATAAAACATGTATTTTTAGAACAAAAAAGCTAAATATTTACAGAAAAGTCAAAAAACATTTTTTAGAAGAAGGACAAAATGTTTTTCTTTCCGTCTCTTTCATCACATCTTTAATCTCAACATTTCAATTGGGGGTCACATTTGATTTGTTCTGAGCTTCTTTAAACATGTCCTTTCAGTGACTGCATGTTCGACCTGTGTGCTGAGCAAGGCAGTGCGGAGTTGCGCTGTGCCAGCTACGAAGCGTATGCTACCGCCTGTCAGGAGGCCGGGGTCCAGCTAGGATCTTGGAGGCAGCAGCTGGACTGTGGTAAGAAGGACAGAAGGACCTGCACACTACGACCCCTCTCTCTCAGAAAACCATTTTTTATTTACACTAATGCACCACCATACCATCAGAGGCCTGGTTTTACTGCAGTGGTTTCCAGAACAGAACGGAACAGAACCTTACTCCTCCCTCGACACGCCTCCATCTAAATACGTAAAATAGATGAACATGTGTTTGTCATTTGGGATTCTAGTGTCTGCAGGTTGAAAATTGTCTAGATGCAGAAAAGTGAAGAATTTCATGGAATGTGAATCAGAGACTGTGGTTCAGTTTCGTTGTTTGGATTTAAACCATAAATGCCCAAACTCATGGAAAAAAAAAACAACAGCCAGGTCCAGAACAGAACAGAACCAGACCTGGACCTTCAGTGGCCTCTGAGGGCCTCATCCTCTGAGCTCAGAGATCTCTACAGATTCTTTTAATCTGTTAACGAGATTATAAACTGAAGATGATGGGGAATTGACGTCTTTCATTCAGGAACTTTAGTCTGAAATTGTTCCACTAGTTTTACACAGCCTGCTGAACCTGTGCCCGTCTTTACTTCTAACAGTCTCTGTTTATCCCCAGTGGTCTGACTGAGCCTTTGAAAATTTACCTCATTAGTTCCTAAATGTTCCTCCAACTGGTTCTGATTCTCTTGTAAATGAGTCCCCGAGGCTCAATGGGATTAACCTGTACAAATAAAGGTTGAATGAATAAATGATTCTGTTTTCTTGTTTTTTACAGATTTATCTTTTAGAAATGTGTTGCTGTCATCACATGTGTCATAGTTGAAACATTTGATGTGTTGTTTGTTTTTTTATTTCACTGTGAATCAAATGTGGGTCTGTGAAATTTTAAATCCTTTGATTCTGTTTTTATTCAAATCATCTGAACATTTTTGGACCTGGTTGTTCCAGAAGAACTCTAGTTTTTGAGCAGCTGTTTTCTTTCTTTGCCTTTCAGTCCTTCGCTGCAACACCAATAGCACATATTCATCTTGTATGTCAGCGTGTCCTGCGTCCTGCGCCAACATGGCAGCACCCTCTGAGTGTGACATGACTTCCTGTGTGGAGGGCTGCCGGTGTGCTGCAGGCTTTGTCATGAGTGAGGGGACATGTGTCCCATATCCAGACTGTGGCTGCACCTTCCTGAACCGATACTACCCTGTGAGCTGTTGTCTGTCTTTCTGTCTGTCAGTGTGTCGATCTGTCTGTCTTTCTGTCTCTCCGTATGTCTTTCTGTCTCTCTGTGTGTCTGTCTGTCTGTCAATGTGTGGGTCTGCCTGTCTCTCTGTTTGTCTGTCTGTCTGTCAATGTGTGGGTCTGTCTGTCTCTCTGTGTGTCTGTCTTTTTGTCTCTCTGTGTGTCTGTCTGTCAGTGTATCTGTCTGTCAGTGTGTCTGTCTGAACTCTCCTCCATCTCCGTGTGTGCAGCTTGGTGAGCAGTTTGTAACTGAAGACTGCTCCCAGTCCTGTGAGTGCAGCAGAACCGGTGCTGTGTGTCAGATGAAGACCTGTCAGGATGGATACATCTGCACCATTTATAACCTCAAGAGAGACTGCTACAAAGGTACTGGTGTGACGTCCCGAAAGCTCGCACAGAACCAGGGCTTGTAGAGTGAGCTGTGTGTTGGTGTGTATCGTTGTGTGTTGCAGCAAGTCCCTGCCTCAGCTCACCTTGCTTAAATGGAGGAACTTGCTCTGAGGGAGCCAACCACACATACACCTGTTGGTGTCCAGATGGGTTTGAAGGTCCAAACTGTGAAGTGGAGAAGACCCCAGGAGAGGTCACACCAAGTGACAGGCTGGGTATATATATCACTCCAACTTAAGAACACAACCACTAAATATTGTGATAGTTTTTATGTTCATGTCTGTGTATGCGTGTTAGTAAAATATCTCATGAACCACTGATTGGACTTAATGAAACTGGTAAAATGGAAACTTTTGGATGTACATTTTCAGCTGACTAAAATTAGATATCAACCCAAATTAAAATTCTTGAAATCGTTGGCTACCACAACCAAACATACCTGATGTTCAAAGGTTCTGTTTGTAAAAATGTCTTCTAACAGAAACCAAATGGATCATCGTGATCGTGGTCCTGGTCTCAGTTGCTGTCATCACCATGCTGACAACCACAGTGTGTGTCTGCAGAAACAAGAGAAGGTGGGTCTGAAAACACTCGGATGGACTGTACTGAGGTAGAACAGGCCAGAAGTTCAGTTTACGTCCTGAGTTCAGGGGATTCATAATCACAAGTCTGCTCACAAACCTTCATGTTCAACACATTATTGACTAGTCTCTGAGAGGGAAACCAAACAAACATCTCATGTCAGTTTATTCTCTCTACAGGAAACAGAAGAATAAAGACAACACAAAGTTCAGCCTGAAATCAACAAGTGAGTACAAAACTGAAGATCTGAAACAGATTAATACTGAAGACCTAAACAAAAATTAATACTGAAGACATGAACCAGATTATTACTGAAGACCTGAAACATTTTAATACTGAACACGTAACCCAGATTATTACTGAAGCCCTGAACCCGATAAATACTGAACATAATACTGAAGACCTGAACCAAATTAATTCTGAAGACCTGAAGAAAAATTAATACTGAAGACCTGAACCAGATTATTACTGAAGACCGGAAACAAATTATTACTGAAGACCTGAACCAGAATAATAACAATGACCTGAACCATCTTAATACTAAGCACATAACCCAGATTATTACTGAAGCCCTGAATCGGATTAATACTGAAGACCTGAACCAAATTATTACTGAACACCTGAATCAGATTAATACTGAAGACCTGAATCAAAATGAATACTGAAGACCTGAACCAGATTATTACTGAAGACCTGAACCATCTTAATACTAAACACATAACCCAGATTACTACTGAAGCCCTGAACCAGATTATTACTGAAGACCTGAACCAGATTATTACTGAAGACCTGAACCATCTTTATACTGAACACATAACCCAGAATCAGGGCCAGATTAACACTTCGCCGTACACTGGGCAACAATCTTCAGGGGCCCCATCATCACGACCCCAGAATCACCATAATCTGGCAAAATACAGAATAAATTACCATAATATACACTAAATATAATTAAAATTCTAACTATCAAGAATATTTTTATGTATAAAACTCCAAATGCTCATTGACACAAATCATCAAGACTGAATTAAGTTGAATGCACTTTGAACATCATGACACCATATGTGTACTTGTTTAGTAACATGTTGATCACTGGTGTCAGAAGCATTTATAATGTGTGTGTGTGTGTGTGTGGGGGGGGGACACTGATGGGGGGGGGGGTCTGGGGGTCCTCCCCCAGAACATTTTGAATAAAGTAGATGCCATTTCCTGCATCCTTGTGTATATTAATGGTGGTTTAACATCTAGTTTTACCTACATAAGTAAACACTTGGAACACCTTGGGATTCCCCTGGAGGAGCTGGTCCAAGTGGCTGGGGAGAGGGAAGTCTGGGCCTCCCTACTTAGGCTGCTACCCCCGCGGATGGATGGAAGTAAACACTTGATTCAGTAACTATATTAGAGTTAATGGCACAACAAGAAGTAACCTGACCAACAGCTGATTCAATGAATTAAAAATATTATATATTCAAAGGTGACAATTTAATGCCCAAATTAAAATTAAATGTCTGTAACTTAGTTGACTTCAAATGCAATAAGATTATCAATGAATGTTTGCAACAAAGGATTTACTGATTATAACAAAGATTCCTTCAAGAAACCTCCTAATATAAATCATAAAACCAGTATGACTTCTGCTCATTCTAAATTTGTCAAATGGCCTAAATCTCCTAAAGTGAAGGAAAATCATTTTAAAACAATAAATAAGATATATCCTGTAGCCATGTTTCTTGAAATAAGATTTAAATTTGATGTTGATTTTTGTGCCTTTTGTAAATCCCAAGATGAATCCCTCGAGCAATCTTTTTTTCATGTCAATACAAAGTGTTTGGTCAGACATCAGAAACTGGATTCATCTCAAACTTAACATTCCTTCTTTTCATGCTGATGCCATTTTACTTTATGTGGATAACTTAAACTCAGCTTTCTCTGATGCCATAAATATAGTTGTACTTATAGCAAAGTATACATTCACTTTAGTAAGAGGAGGGATAATAATCCCTCCTTCCTGTTTGATGAACAATTTTAAGTCATACTATTCTTCATTAAGTAGATTAAAAATCTGCAAAACTGCTAAAATCATCTCACAACAGATACAAACTTATTGTTTTTATTAAAACAATGTTTCTCAAGGAAAAAAAACTGATGAGCTTATCAGCAGGTAAGGGGCGTTTAACTTAGGGACAAATTGAGGTTGTTGATTGGTCAGTTACTGACACGCCTTCTGAGTTGATTGACAGGTCGCACCATTGAGGATTAGATTGAAAAGATAAAAAAAAAACGAGAGCTGCAGCAGCAGCACTGGGAGGAGGCAGGGCTGCACAAATGCAGTGCAGGGCTCCAAGTAAAGCAGGAGATAACCAGATTTTTGCTTATCCCCTCACTGCCCTGGGCCCCTTAGAGATCCAGGGCCCCTGGGCAGTTGCCCAGTTGCCCATATGGTTAATCCGGCCTTACCAGAATATTACTGAAGCCCTGAACCAGATTATTACTGAAGATCTGAACCAGATTATTACTGAAGACCAGAAACAAAATTATTACTGAAGACCTGAACCATCTTAATACTGAACACGTAACCCAGATTATTACTGAAGCCATGAACCCGATAAATACTGAACATAATACTGAAGACCTGAACCAAATTATTACTGAACACCTGAACCAGATTAATTCTGAAGACCTGAAGCAAAATTAATACTGAAAACCTGAACCAGATTATTACTGGAGACCTGAACCAGATTAATACTGAAGACCTGAACCATTTTAATACTGAACACGTAAACCAGATTAATACTGAAGCCCTGAACCTGATTATTACTGAAGATTTGAACCAGATTATTACTTAAGATCTGAACCAAATTAATACTGTAAACCTGAACCAGATTATTACTGAATATTTGAACCAGATTATTACTTAAAACTTGAACCAAATTAATACTGAAGACCGGAACCAGATTAATACTGAAGACCTGAACCAGAACAATACTGATGAACTGAACCAGATTAATGCTGAAGACCTGAACCAGAGTATTACTGCATACCTGAACCAGATTAATACTGAAGACCTGAACCACATTATTACTGAAATTTTGAACCAGATTAATACTGAAACCCTGAACCAGATTATTACTGAAGACCTGAACCAGATTAATAATGAAGACATTAACCATTTTAATACTGAACACCTGAACCAGATTAATTCTGAAGACCTGAAGCAAAATTAATACTAAAAACCTGAACCAGATTAATACTGAAGACCTGAACCATCTTAATACTGAACACGTAACCCAGATTTTTACTGAAGCGAACAGAGAACAATGTTCTTATGTATACATCTCTAAAGACAGCGAACCATGTTCTTCTGTAAACAGTTCTAAATACAAAGAACCATGTTCTTCTGGAAACAGCTCTAAAGACATAGAACCATGTTATTCTGTATACATTTCTAAATACAAAGAACCACCAAGTCATTGGTTCAGGTATGTTGACGACACCTGGGTTAAAATTAAATCTCAGGAAGTCCAACATTTTACTGATCACATCAACTCTGTGGATAAATACATCAAGTTCACACGAGAAGATGTAAAAAGTGGCAGGTTGGCTTTCTTGGACTGTGAGGTCTCAGTCTCTGATAGAGGACATTTGCAAACTGAGGTGTACCACATACCCACCCACACAGACCAGTATTTGCAGTTTGACTCCCATCACCCTTTGGAGCACAAGTTAGGAGTCATCAGGACTCTGTATCACAGAGCAGAGAGCATCCCCACTAACTCAGGAGCCAGGCAGAAGGAGAAATCCCACACAAGACAGGCTCTAGAGCAATGTGGATATCCTAACTGGGCCTTCCTGAAAGCAGAGAAGAAACCCAAACAGGACTCCAGTCAGCCATCAGGTGAAAAGGAGGAAACCAGACCCAGACCAGTGGCCATTCCATATGTTGCAGGAGTATCAGAGAAACTGAGACGTTTATTCTCTAAACATAATGTCCCAGTGGCTTTTAAACCCCAAAATACATTACAGCAAAGACTGGTTCATCCCAAAGATCCAGTCCCCCGGCACAAACAGAGTAATGTTGTGTATGCTGTTCAGTGTCAAGAGGGCTGTGATCAGTCTTACATCGGGGAAACTAAACAGCCACTGGCCAAAAGGATGGCCCAGCACAGAAGATCAACATCATCAGGCCAGGATTCTGCGGTCTACACTCATCTCCAGGCCAGCGGTCACTCTTTCAGGGATGAAGATGTTCACATCCTGGTTAGAGAGGCACGATGGTTTGAAAGAGGAGTAAAGGAGGCCATCTTTGTGAAAATAAATCGTCCATCATTAAACAGGTGTGGAGGCCTCCGGGTTCAACTGTCCCCCTCTTACAATGCTGTGATTGCTAGTATCACTCAACCCCCTGTGAATAGTAAACAGCCATCAGTGTGCTAATGATCCATCGTTAGGCTGATGGTCCTTCTTGACCATGTGAGCAGCTGGTTTTGGTTGTCAGCAGCAAACTGGTTGATCCATTCTGAGAAGGTGCTATTTAAGAGACTGAGCTGAATACAGCACCTCAGACTGAAGAAGTCTTTCGGATGAGAGATGAAACGTTTCTACATTTTTTTGCTTTGTTATGTTTTTTGTTTTGAATGTCCAGAGGACCAGATTGAACTTTTTTGAATTTTTCTACCTGAATTATTGAGCATGCATCAGGATATCTTCTCTAAATAGCTCTAAAGACAGAGAACCATGTTTTTTATGTATACATTTCTAAATACAGGGAACCATGTTCTTATTTACACAGCTCTAAAGACAGATAACCATTTTTTTCTGTTATTAAAACAAGGACTGTTTTAACACTTTATCACCTTTTACAGATTCATCAGCATGTATAGCACTGTTAACTGTTACAGCACTTTTTGTGTAATTAAATAAAATTAATCTCTGAACATGCTGATGATTTTTAGTTGCCAAGACAGAGGTTGACACCGAAAGGTTCTTCTTCTTTTTCAGCTTTTCCCTCTGTAGGGGTTCTCCACAGCTACAGTCATCCTCTTCAATCTCACTCTGTCCTCTGTCACTCCAACCAGTAGCTAATTTGAGATGGATTCTGCCAGAACAAGATCCAGGAACGCCTTCATTTTGACCCGTTGTGTTCCGGCAACTCTTTCATTGGATCTACCAACTCCGCCCCTAAAAGTCCAAAGCACATTTTTATTTTGATTATTTATTAAAAATACAAAGAGAGGAGATGTTGCTCGTAGCCCAGGGAACCCAGTCTGTGCCGGATGTTAAGCCAT